AAGAGAAAGAATGATTTAGGGAGTGATTTCCTATGATTGAGTGGAGGGGATGGTATTGAGAAAACAAGTAGAGGGGCAGTATTTGGAAAGGAAAAGGACCACCAGAGACTTGAGTAGAGGAGGGGGATGGGGGATGAGGAAAGAAAAAACAGTGCTGGATTTAAACTCAAAAGACCTGGATTTGAGTTCTATTTCTGTGTGACCTGGACCAAATCAAATAACTTATCTGGGCCTCTGTTTCCTTGTCTATAAAATGAAGAGGCTAGATTAGATTATTTTTAAAGTCCTTTCTCCCTTGAAACCTGTGGTTTTATTTGTCAAAAGTTTTTAGTGCCAGGTTACAGTATTATTATCTCAATGTATATCATGCTGGCCCTTGGCTTGTTAAATATTTTTTACTTGATTAAGGAAAAATCTTTCTGTAGTTTATTCGTGTTGGCAATTTTATCACAAATGAATTGTGGATTTTTATCAATAGTTTTTAATTCTTTGCTAATCATATGACGGGTCTTTTGGTTTTTAAAAGGTTGCCTTTCCAGGGTTATTGTTATTCTCCTTTAGGCATTCTATTCTTCAGCCAAGCTGGCCTGCTTGCTCTTATTCCCCATGCATATCAGTCTGTTTCCCATCTCTGTACTTTTGCACAGCTTGTCTTCCCATTCCTGGAATGCTCTCCCTTTTTACTTCTGCCCCTTAGACCCTCTGGATCCCTTCTAGGTTCAGCTCAAGTACCATCTCTTATGTTAATACCCTTTCCCAATCACTGGTGTACTCTTTATTATGTATCCTGTACTTACTTAGCTATAAACATAGTATCACCCAACATAACATAAGCTTCTTGAGGGCAGCTACTGTATCACTTTTGTCTTTGTATTCCCTGTACCCAACACAGTGCCAGGTACATAATTGGCACTTAATAAATGCTTGCTTATTGATCTTTCTGATTTGTTTTTTCACCAAATCATTTTTGGTAGATTGTTTTTCAATTTGTAGCTTTATGACTTCTGCTTGTATTGTTATTTAATTATAATTTTATTACATTGTGGTCTGAAAATACAGGATGCATAATTTCTGCCTTTCTAAATGTAGAACTTCTTTTTGACCACTTACTGTGGGATTGATATTAATGAGCATTCCATGTGTATTTGAAAAAAAAAATCATCTCAGCTTCTCCCATTTTATTATTTTTTTTTACCATAGAGCTATTAATTCCAGGGTAAGTAGTGCCAAGCTTTTAAAAATAGTTTCTTTTTTTATTTTTATGAACTTAACCGACATTAACAAATATGATAATTTCCTTATACAAAGAGCAGAAAAAAGGGCTATAAAAGATGACACATTATATATAGCTTGAGGTTTTTCGTGGTTAGTATTTATTAGCTTTAACTTGGGTGGTTCTAACATTACTTTGCTTGTCAGTGTTCCCCTCTGAACTTCCTTCAGCTTTTTTCTGTGTATTTTTAAATGTTTTGTTTTTCTTTTTCCTTTTTCCTATCACTATTACTATCTCCACCATTGTTCCACATAACTTTGCCACCATACCCTCCAAAATAAAAGCCTTCCTTTGTAACAAATAAGTACAGTGAAGCAAAACAACCTACTCATTGGTTATGTCTGAAAATATATCTCTCATGCTGCACTTCTAGTCTAGCATCTTTCTGACAAAAGGTGGCAATCATGATTTATCATCACCAAAGCTATGAGATTAACTTTTAATGACCAAATCTAATAGCCTTTTCTCAGTCCTCATCCTTTTGCACTTTTGAACAGCCATTGACACTATTGATCACCCTCTTGTCTTTGATAAGCTCTTCTCTCATTCTCTTCTTCTTTGCTTAGCCACTCTTCAATCTCCTTTGCTGGATTTTCATCCTGCTCACACCCATTCTAATACCCCAAGAATCTGTCTTCTGTTGAATCATTCAGGTTACAAAGTTTATCTATCTATCTATCTAGCTTTTCTTTTACAAATTTAAATGCTAAGGCAATTGAAATATTTATGTTAATATTGATATTGGCTTGTTTTCCATGGTTCCTTTTAGTATGATGTTGTTTCCTTGTTTAACCCTTTTTAGGTTGTGAATATTATTTTGTTTTGTTTGCTTTCTCTGATAACATTGTTGCAACTCTTTTTTTTTTCTCCAGCCCTTCATTTTTATTCTATGTATGTCTTTGGTTTTTAGGTATGTTTCTTGCTAGCAATAGATTGTGAAATTTTATTTTCTTATCTAATCTGGTAATCATTTTCATTTTATTGGAGTATTTAATTCATTCATTTTAAAGTTATGAGAGTCAGGTTTATATTTTCCTCCTCAAGTTAGGATTTTCCCTCTTCTTCCTCTAAAAACATACTATATTGTGTCTTCAGTTATTTTAGCTTTATCCATTTTAAGGTAATCCAATAGGGTTTTCTTACCCTTCACCTTTAATCCCTCATACACTCCCTTTTGTTAACCTTTTCCTGAGTTTTGAAGTTTTGTTTAATTTATTAGTTCTTTTTTCTTTCTTCCTTTACCTAGTTATAATTATTTTCCCCTTTTTTTCCTCCAAGTTAAGTAGTCAAGTAAAATCCCCCTTTCAGCCTGCTTTGTTTCATTTGTTTTTCAAATTTCACTTTTTTGCACTTTTTTTCTAAAAAGGATTTCTTTTGCTCATTCTCCTCATTATTTATTTCCCCTTTCTATTCTAGATTTTTATCCTTTGATTCCCCTAGCTCATTTTCTGATCCTTTGATTGTGGTCTTGAGGGCTAAACCTCAAAACCATGCCATTTCCATGCACCTTTTATCTGCCTCACTCTGCCTCCAAGCAAGTCACTTAATCCTGTTTGCCTCAGTCTCCTCATCTATAAAATGACCTGGAAAGGGAAATGACAAACCACTTCACTATCTTTACCAGGAAAACCCCCCCAGGGATCAGGAAGAGTTAGACATGACTAAACAATAACAACAAAATCTAATTCATAGGATTTGGATGGGTCATCCTTCTTGTTTTAATTTAGTCACAATATCATTAGGGATGGTACATGGCTTTGGATTGCTGGTCATTGTCCTTTCCTGAGGAGGACCATAACAAAAAGAAGACAATGCCATGACTTGCAAATGAACTGGATTTAAGTGGGAGAAGGCTATGCAAAGTCACTAACCTGACTCTTCCAGAGCCATCTGGGTTCAGTGGCAAGATATAGATCAGGACAACTGGAGATGGCCCTGAATGCAGTGGGAGACCTTGGCCTTTTTAAGTTAAGGTCTTTCCCAGGTCTCATTTTGACTGAGGCAATGCCCATTCAGTGATTAAGGCTAGGTAAGAAACAGATTAGCATCAAAACTCTTCTAGGCTGCCGAAGTTGTCATAGGTTTTGCAACCTCTAATGAGAGACAATCTATAAAATGAGATGGTCATTTATATTTTGGGGCAGGAAGAAGAAAAGAAACCATCAATGAGGGAGAAAAGAAAGAGGCAGAAGTTAAAAAATAGGGGAAGGGGTAAGTATGGTGTAATATCATGGAAACCAAAAGAGAAAAGAGAATTTCAGGATGAAGATCCTATCCTGTAGTGAGGTTTAAAGAAAGAAAGGTCTGAGAAAAGACCATTGCAATTGGTGATTAGGAGATTAATGATGGCCTTTGAGAATGGATGGGAGCCAGATAATATAGGCATTTAAACATGGTAAGTGGTGACCAAGTGAAGGTAGGAGATGTAGTCTTCTAGTTTAAGAAGCATGACTTGGATGGAAAGATACAGTGAGAGGAGGCATCAGGATTAAGTGAAAGTTTTTTCTAAAAATTACAGTGTTATTTGAAGAGAAAGGGAAGAGTCTGTAGAAAAGGGAAGCTCAAAAATAAGTAAAGGTTAGGTAGGGAAGAACCTTAGAGATCATTATATTCATAAAATGATAAATACCAGAAGATAGAATATAGCTCAGACATAACCATGGACTAGAGCAGGCAAATTGTAAAGGACTTCAAAACTATGCTGTTTGATGATTGGTTGAAGGAACTGGGGATGTTTAGCTTTATTTAAGAGAAGAATGAAGTAGACTTGATAGCTTGTCAAGTACCTAAAAGGCTGTCATTTAAAAGAAAAGTTAAACATATTCTTATTGCCTCTAGAGGGCATAACTAGCAGTAGTATGTGGAAGGTACAAAGGCGCAAATTTAACGCTAATAATAATGGCTAACATGTACATAGTGCTTATTATGTACCAGGCACTGTGCTAAGTGCTTTACAATTGTTATCTCATTTGGTTCTCACGACAACCCTGGGAGGTAGGTGCTATTATTATCCTGAGTTTATAGATGAGGAAACTAAGGTTAAGTGACTTTCCCAGAGTCAAATAGCTAGTGTCTGAGCTCAGATTTGAAATCAAGTCTTCCTGACTCCAGACCCAGCACTGTATCCACTGTGCCACTTGTTGTTTACCCTTCATTCTCAAAGAGGACTGATGACATTAGAAGGGTGATGTCTTGACTTGCAAGTGAACTGGATTTAAGTGAGGCAGAGCTGTACAAAGTCATCAGCCTCACTCTCTCCTCCATAGTCATTGGAGTCCAGGGGCACAACATAGGTCAGGATGACTGGCAATGGCCCTGGATGTAGTGGGAGACCTTGGCCTTTTTGAGCTAAGGTCTTTCCCAGGTCCAGTTTGTCAGAGGCAATACCCATTCAGTAGTTAAAGGCTAGGCAAGAATTGAGGCAAAAGATGGCCTAGTTTGGGAAGACTCTTAGAGTTTCTGGCCAGAACAGAAACAAGTGCTTAGATTGATGGAAGAAAACACCACTTAACAATTAGAGCTATTCCAAAGTGGAATAGGCTTTCATAGGAGTATTGGGTTCCCTTTCATTGGGAGTTTTCAGGCAGAGTCTGGATGACTCTGATGTCTAATGTATTGTAGTAGTGATTCTTTTTTAGGTATGGGCTGGACAGCTGCTGAGGTCCCTCCCATTATGAGATTTTATGATTCTGTGATTGAGCTATGACCTATTTCTTTCCCCCAACAGGGCTTCAAGTTTCCAAACCTGATATAATATTCCATTTGGAACAAAGGTGAGATTTATGGATCCTGGAGAGAGATATCCCAAGAGATACTTTTCCAGGTGAGTCAGTGAGAACTAGGTGGAAATCAATGTAAAAAAATCTAGCTATTAATTGGAAAAGTACCCACTTTGGTTGGAAAGCTCTTTTGAAGACTTTCTTCATAAATAGTGTCACTTAAACTTATCACCACTGCTTCTCTCAGTCTCAGAAGATAGGTGCCCTGCTTCCTCCTCAAAATTATCTGAATCCACCTGTAGTCCATTTTCTCTCCTTTCTTGTCTTCTCTATTGCTTGATTGAAAGACCTTGATGACTTGATTATCCCTTGCTTTCTGGCATAATTAATATCTCCCCTTTTACAAATTGCTTCCCTTATTCCTTCAAATGTGAATATGTTTCTTTTATAAGGGGAGAAAAACCCTTACCCAGCACCTTCTAGCAACTATCCAATTCGTTTCCTTCTCAATGCCAAACATTTCAGTAATATGGTTTATTTCCACAGCCTCCACTTCCTCATTGTTTGTTTCTTACTTAAGCCAGGCAAGCTATAGTCTATCACCAGAACTTAATTAAAAATATTATTATAGTCAATTAAATCAATGAGTAAGCATTTATTGCCTACTCTGTGCCAAGTTCTTCGTTAGATATTGTGGACACAAATCCAAAAGTCAAACAGTTGCTACCCTCAAGGAGCTTACCTTCTTCTGAGGAGCAAAAGGAATACAACACATTCAGAGACAAATAAATACAAGATGTGTGCAAAATAAAATCATTCCTGTGTATTACTAACAACTGAGGGAACTAGGAAAGTCTTCTTTAAAGTAGGTAGCACTCAAAGCTGAGCACTGAAGGAAGATAGAGGCTCTAATAGGCAGCTATGATAAGGAAGAGCATTCCAGGGGAACAGCCTCTGCAAAGGCAGGACATGGAATGTCACATGCAGGGAACAATAAGCAAGTCAATTTGGCTGGAATGTACCGTGTGTGAGGGGAGGGGAATATGTAATTGGTCTAAAAAGATAGATTGCGGCCAGATTGTGAAGGGTTTTAAAATGTCAAACAGCAAAGTTTATACTTTAATCTAGAGGCATTAGGGACACAGTGGAGTTTCTTGAGCAGAGGCCTGACACAGTTTGATCCGTGCTTTAGGAATATCAATTTGGCAACTTTGTGGAGACTAGTTTGGAAAGAGGGAGAAGGTAGGTGAAAAAAGACTAATGAAGAGGTTAGTGCACTAGTCTAGGCAAGAGGTGACAAGGGCCTGAACTAGGGTGGTTGTGGTGTGAATGGTGAGAAGAGATGGCTGTGAGAGAGATTGTAAAGGCAGAAGAGACAAGATTTGGTAACTGATCTGATGAAAGGTGCTGATTGTGGAGGGAGTGAAGAGTAGATTGATTGATCAATCCCTCTGTAATATAACACCAAGTAATTATTAAGTGCTTATTAGTTTAGGTAGTGACAGTACTAGCCATCAATCAATTAATCAGTAAACATTTATTAAGCCCTTCTATGTGCCAGGCACTGTGCTAAGTGCTGGGGATATAAAAAGAGGCAAAAAACAGTGCCTGACCTCAAAGAGCTTACAGTCTAATGGGAGAGACAACATGCAAATGAATATATACAAAGCAAGCTATATATAGGATAAATAAGAATTAATTAAAAGAGGGAAGACACTGGAATTAAGAGAGGCTGGGGGATTAGCAGGTTGAGGAATCAGGGAAAACATGGAAAAGGAAGTACTTGAGTAGAATCTTCAAGGAAGCATGGATTCTGCAAGGTGGAGAAAAGGAAAGCGTACATTTTAAACATGGAGGTTGGCTAGAGAGGAAGTGTCTTGTGTAAAAAACCACAAGACCAGTTTGGATAGACTATTACTATAGCACACAGGGAGGGAAATAATGTGTAATGAAGCTGAAAGGCCAGGTTGCAAAGTTAGCATATTTTATCCTAGAGGCAATAAAAGTTTATTGATTAGAGGGAAGATATGGTCAAATCTGTGATTATGGAAAATCAGTTTGGTAGCTGTTTGGAGGTTGGATTGTATTGAAGAGAGAGGTAATAAGGACCAAAACTAAGATGGTAGTTTTTTGAGTAGGAAGAAGGGGGAGGATATAATAGATGTTTTGGGGAAGAACAGTAATCTTTGGCAACTGATTGGATATATGGGGTGAGGGAGAGTGAGGGGTGAAGAATTTTGTCCACATGACAAAACTGAAAGAATGATGGTGCCTTTGACAGAAATAGGGAAGTTCAACAGGGGGGTGAGTTTTGTGGGATAGAAATGAATTCAGTTTTGGAAATGTTGAGTTTGAGATGTTTATAGGACATCCAATTAACTTTGTCCAGTAGCAGTGATGTGGAACTAGAACTCAAGCATGAAACTGGAGCTAAATATAGATTTGAGAGTCATCTTCACAGAGCTAATCATTAAACCCACGGGACCTGATAAGGTCAACAAGAGAGAGCATGTAGAGAAAAGAGCCCAAGACACAGCCTTAAAATACACTCAAGAGTGTGATATAGATGATGATGTAGCAAAAAACACTGAGAAGGAGAGATCAGACAGGTAGGGGCACGTCAAGAGAGAAACTCCTGATTCCTTTTGCATTGGCTTTTTACTTAGGCCACTAAGAAGTCACATCAATGGTTCAAGCCTTACTCTTCTGAGCTAATTAAGTCAGAGGACAATTCCAATGCCTTTTAAGGAAAAATTACCCTAGCTTGCAAAGGGTAGGGCCCTAGAAAAGCTAGCCCAACTTGTATGGTTAGGGAATCAGTAATAGTAGTCCAGGCAGAGACCTCATAGATACTCCTCCTTTCATAACCCTACAAAGGGTTAAGTAGTGAATAAGGGGAGGGAAAATAAAAGCAAGCAAGACTTTTAAATTTTTTTCTCTTAAAATTTGGCTATGAAAGGGAGGATACATGGGTTTGTTAGGGTCTAGTGAAGGTTTTTAAGGCTGGGGAAGACTTGGATATGTTTGTAGTCAATAGAGAAGGAGTAAGTAGTTAGGGAGAGATTGAAGGTTAGAGAGAATAGATCATTGAGAGGGCAATCTGGTAGAGAAGACTAGAGGGAATAGGATGAAGAAAACATGTAGAGGTATTGACCTTAGCAAGAAGGGCCTACTCTTTATCAGGAGAAGAGAGTAAAAGGGCTTTTGAGAGGTAGAGGAGAGAAGAGGGAGGTCATGGCAAATGACCTCTATTTTCTCAGTAAAGTATAAGTTTATTTTATTATTTATTATTAATCAGATAATCACATATAATTAATTATGTAATTAATAATAAACATGTAGAGGTTTATTGAAGCATTTGGTTTTTTAGCTGAGAGGATGAGGAGTGGGATAGAGAATCAATTAAGGATGAATAAAATGTTTACCTTGCTACAGTGAATGTTTAATTGGGGTTAGTGAACACAAATTTCTGGTGGACTCAAGTCAGCTTGTGACTTTCTTCAATTAGATTCAGTGGCATATGAGTAGGAACAGAGGAGGAGAGTGTTGAGAATACTCTGGGGTTGAGCTTTAACAAGGCATAAATAGTAATGGGACAAGGTGGTGAGGGATTTGAGAGTAGAATACAATGTGAAAATGAATTAGTTAGCTATAGAGTCTATAATAACGAGAAAGGAGCAAAATGAAGTCAGCATAGATCAGTAACCTGAGGAAGTTTGAAGGAGTAAAGGGATTGGAGGTAATGATGAGGAAGAATAGGTTTAGGAGGGCTAAGACATAGGGAGAGATAGAATTGTAGAAAGCTATGATCAGATGGAGGAATTTTAGAGTTTTGTGGGGTTTTTTAATGAGGAAAGTGGGATACCTGTAGGTAATGTAAAATCTAGGATTTGAGGATCACAATGAGGCAATGAATCTGGGTGACTAAAGATGGTAGTGCCCTCAACAGAAATAAGTAAATTAGGAAGTGGGTAGGGGTAGGGGAGAGTAATGAATTTGGTTTTGGACATGTTGAATTTGAGATATTTAGGGGGCACTTTGTTGGAGGTGTCCTACATGCAGTCACATGTTGTTGATGAATTAGAATTGGGGATCAGGAAAGAAATGAGAGCTGGATTTGTAGACATAAATGTTGTCTTCACAGAAACAATAGGGGAACTGATGAGATCACTAAGCAAGAGAATGTAGAGAGAAAGGAGTGGGCCCAAAATAGAACCCTGGAGCGCACCTACAATAACGGGGGAGGGGGATGGGTAGAGACATGATGATATTGTATGGAAGAATGAGGAGCAAAAAGGATTTTTCCCCATAGGAATTTAGCTATAAAAGTGAGGAGATATGTAGGACAATCATTTGAAGGCAAGGTAAGGAGGGGTTGAAAATTAGGAAGAGTGATAGCATGTTCAGTGGGGCAAGCTCTCAAAGGAGAAGGGAAGGAATGGTATCAGATATTTGGGAAGAGATGTAGTCTTCCAAGATCTTATCATTGATATTTTATAAAACTAAAAAATATTTTAAACACTATAAAAATAACATTCTCCATACCAACCAAGGGAAAAGATGTGTTTTGTCATATATTTCTTTTTTTAGATCCTTGCTTTCAGTCTTGCTGATCTATTCTCTCCTCCCCCCCTCCCCAATTCTATAATATTCTGCTCCTTCCTTCTTATATAAATCCTAACAGTCTTATAAGTTCCAGTTTAAGCTTTCATAAAGTGCTTCTCAACTACTCCAGATGATATTGATATCTACCTTCTCTGAAATTTCCATTGCTATTTATATGTAGTCTGTTCCACACAATCTCACACTGGTTTATATTACTTATAATTCTTTTCATTAACTCCTCACTTAGATTTTCAGCTTTTGGAAGAGAGAAGTTTTATTTTGTGTCCCCAGTTCTGGGCACTTAGTAATTGCTCAGTAAATACTTGATTGTTTTTTTATGAAGGTAGATGAAGAAGAAGTAATTCTCTTTCCTTTTTATTGGGGCCACCTGTTCCATAACATTTTTCTTTTGTCTGACCACACAGCCATTCATTAATTTGTTCATTTTACAAGTATTTATGAATTAATTATATGTTTCAGGTGCGGAGTCAAAAAAAAAAAAAGGCCCTCTTCAAAAATTATCAATGGATTGGAAACCTTTGATATGGTAAGAAGAAGTGCTGGAGTAGGAGTCCAGATACCTGCATTGTGTGACATTGGGCAAGTCACAACCTCTGGGAGTCCTGATTTCTTTATTTTTAAAATAAGCATTGTAATATTAGCCTATCTTCCTCAGAAGATTGTAGTAAGGAAAGTGCTTTTTGTAAGCCTAGAAACATAGAAATGTAAGTTGTTGCTATTATTTTGGAAGCATTAAAAGTAATATTAATGTTGGTAACTGAAGAAAGAGACTAAGTGTTCAGAGAGAGGTGAATAAGAGAAGTGAAATAAAGGAAATGTGAAGACTCAGAATGGGAGAATGGAACCCCTAAAGTGGTGAAGCATCACCACAAGATTGGTGAGACTGGAAAGAAATTGAGGACTTTTCTATAACAGTAGGTGCAGAAAGGTTGAAGTTCTTAAAGCCTGGGTAATTTAGGTGAATTGATATTGAAGGCCATATTCCTGGGAGCTACCAAGTTAAAGTTTAAGTAGACATAAGAAGAGTTATAACCTAGTACTGAAAGGCCTACTTTGGATCCAGATAGGGAAAACCTTGCTTTTTCAGTGATTAAAAGACCTGAGAGAATTAGTTGTGCCTTTGGATTAAGGATTGGAAGAAAGGTTGGAATAGAAAGCAAACTGTAAACTGTGTAAGTTTGGCGTGTATGTGAACCTATGCCAAACTAAACTAAGTAAGAATTATCTATATAGCTATAATTTAACTAAGGTGATTGTGTAAAGATTTTCTTGCACTATAATAAAAGAGTTCACACACTTTTAACAGCAGGCGGTGTTGTCCTGGAATGGACAAGCTATAGATTATCAAAGAATTGGTGAAGAAGGGGAAGAACCATGACCTCTGGACACAACTTTATTTGCAATGTGATAGTAGTAGGAAATTAATTATGTGGTAGAAGACTTAGCTGAAGATCCTTATGTTTTGTGTTTAATTTCATCACAGTACTGTGTTATCATATTACATTTTTAGAAATTTAGAAAGCAAGATACTAGCTAGAAAAATATATAAAATAAGTACACATGCAAGGCAATTAGTGCCAAAGCATATAATTCAGACTATTAGTATGGAAATTCTGAGACTAGAGCTCATAATAGGGAGCAGGGATTATGAAAAGTTTTTTTGGAGGAATTTGTACTTGAGAAGGAAAGGATGGATAAGATTTGTTTATACATGTTGAAGGCAAATGATTTGAACAAATGATTGAAATCAAGAATAGGCATGGTATAATCTAGGGACAATGAAGAGATTAGCTAGTCTAAAGTGGATGGTCTATGGTAGGCAGAAAGTAGTGGAAAATAAGTCTGAATAGGTATAGTGGGGAAAGAATTGGTTTTTTATCTCATAGGCAATGGTGAGATGCTATAAAATCTCTTCTATAGCGTAATATCAAGAAAATAGCATTTTAGGAAGACTCATTTGTAGAATGACATGCAGAATGTACCAATTGGCAGTAGATTGGTCAGCTAGAAGTCTATGAGATCAATCGAGAGATAAAGGCCTGGCCTAATATACTAACAATTTGCATTTCCTTAAAAGCTGACTCTCAAGAGGCAAGACTACTTTCCTCGTTCTCCAACATTTCTACTTATCTCCATTCCCTCTAATTTGCTTAATTCTTCTGGTCACCTACCTTAGTTCTTTACATCTTAGATAGCTTATCATCATTCTTCATGAACACTGGATTAGCCATCCACCAGTTCAGACTGGAATTTCAGAAACTAAGAGTCCCATTCTCAGTTGATCTAGCTGTGGGATTTATTCATAGTATACAAATTGATCTACAGTAGTGGGCAGAAGCCATTAAGGGATGCATATACCCTGACTGACTGCCTTACTACCACCTGGCTTCAATGTTAGTTTTGATTTTGGAGATGAAAACACACACACAATAGTGGCAAGCAACTACCCTTCTCAGAAATGCCGTCTGATTCTGACTGAAATAGGGAGGTTATGGGTAACAATGTTTTATACTGAGGAAGGAAGAAAGAGCTTGGGCCTTTTACAACTGCATTTGTCTAGCAGTGTAAGACCATAGCCTCCTTTGAATATGCCAGTTATGAATAGTCCAGTTAAGGAGAAACAGAAAAGTTGGTAGAATTCCTTTGGCTGCACTTATGGATGCTTCAGTCATTTTAATAACTTTTTGTCACAGAACATTTCCCACTCCACCTTCTAGATGAAGGCTTCAAGTTCAAACAGACTACATCAAGTTCCCATCCTATATTTTCTTTTGACTGCTTACCACGCCTCAGCTTCCCCTTTCATCCTCTCCCTGGATTACCAAACTGTATCTGAGAACTGTCAAAGACATATCTTCAGTGTAGTCAGCACCGTCAATTTCATTATCTTACTATCACTAGAATAGTTCCCTTTCTTCCACAGAGGAAAGTGGAACGTTTGTATTTTCAATTTCTTTCAGATTGGAAGACATGGGCTGAGATGAAGCATGCAACTTCAAAGCCATACATTTCCAAAGAATCATCATTCCAGGCATAGTAATGGAAAGAATTAAAATGGATGGATCTTGGAATTCTGAATTGGAAGAAACTTTAAAATTTGAGGGTAGTATAGAGAGCCTACAGGGAAAACCCAACAAACTATTGCATCAAGTGATAATGCATAGAAAAACTCTAACTTGGGAGAAAAGCCCTGAATATAATGAATTTGGAGAAAGCCTCAATCTGAGCTCAAACCTGGCAACACAGCAAAGAATTTTTATAGGTGAGAAACCTGATAAATATGATACACATGAAAAGAACTTCAAACATAATTTGGATACAGCTAAACATCAAGGAATCAACACTGACAAGAAATCTTGTAAATGTAATGAATGTGGGAAAGCCTTCAATTACTATTCAGACCTTATTCGACATCAGCGAACTCACACTGGAGAGAAACCATACACGTGTAATGAATGTGGAAAGGCATTCAGTGATCCCTCACCCTTTATTCGACATCAGAGAATCCATACTGGGGAAAAACCCTATGAATGTAATGAATGTGGAAAGGCTTTCAGTGACCGATCAACATTTATTCAACACCAGAGAATTCACAGTGGAGAAAAGCCTTATGAATGTAATGAATGTGGGAAAGCATTTAGCCAAAAAAAGCACCTTATTCAGCATCAGAGGATTCATACTGGAGAAAAACCTTATGAATGTAGTGAATGTGAGAAAGCATTCAGCCAGAGGACCCAACTTATTCAACATCAGAAAACTCATACTGGAGAGAAACCCTATAAGTGTAATGAATGTGGAAAATTCTTCAGCCGGAGCACACACCTTACTGAACATCAGAAAACACACACTGGGGAGAAACCCTATAAATGCAATGAATGTGGGAAAGCTTTCACTTATCGCTCAACTTTTATTCGGCATCATATTATTCATACTGGTGAGAAACCCTATGTATGTCATGAATGTGGGAAAGCCTTTAGTCAAAACTCAATCCTTACTGAGCATCATAAAACTCATACTGGAGAGAAACCCTATAAATGTAATGAATGTGGGAAAGCTTTCAGTTCCTGCTCATACCTTAACCAACACCAGAAAACTCATACTGGTGAGAAGCCTTATAAATGTAATGAATGTGGGAAAGCCTTTAGTTATTGTTCATCCCTTACTCAACATCAGAGAGTTCATACTGGAGAGAAACCCTATGAATGTAATGAGTGTGGGAAAGCCTTCAGTTGTTGGTCCAACTTTAACCAACATCAGAAAACTCATACTGGAGAAAAACCCTACAAATGTAATGAATGTGGAACCGCCTTCAGTCAGAGCACACGTCTTACTCAGCATCAGAGAATTCATACTGGAGAAAAACCCTATGAATGCAATGAATGTGGAAAATCTTTCAGTCTAAGCACTCGCCTTGTTGAACATCAGAAAACTCATACTGGAGAGAAGCCTTATAAATGTAGTGATTGTGAAAAAGCTTTCAGCCGGAGCACCCACCTTACTGAACATCAGAAAACTCATACTGGAGAGAAACCCTATAGATGTAATGAATGTGGGAAAGCTTTTACCTGTAGTTCATCCCTGATCAGACATCAAAGATTACATGTTTGAAAGTAAATGCGTAAATGTAATGAATATGGATGAAAACTAAAGTCAAACATCACTTTCTTAAATTTTTTAATCAAGAGATCTAATAGAAAATTAAGTTGATTAAGAGGAAACTGTCTTTGGATCTAAGTTTCCTTGTACAGTTCCTACTGCCATAGTTCATATAGATAAACCCTTAAGAGTATTTGTTGATTCACTGTTTGCTTAAAATAACTTTGTATAGTAATCCAAGTTAAAAGGGTCATTTTAGAGCTTTAGAAAGATCAATCTTCAGCTAAACAAGGATCAGGGTAGGGCGGTAACTTTCTTCCTAAAGATGGGATGGCCAAAAAGAAATCTTGGTTTAAGGACTATTGGTTCTACTAGTTACCGCAGCATTGTCTTCTCCTAGCAATTTTGCCTCGAAAGTTCCACCAGTTGGTCAACTGTCTTAAAGAGGTGGCAGTCACTATCTTCAATTAATCAGAGCCTGGGGAAAAGAGGATCTAAGAGACCTGAAATGTACATATGAGCCCTAAAGTATTATGCTGTTTTTCTACTGTGATAATCATTGTTTTATGTGAATTCTAAAAGATACTATTTTAGTTTTCTAATTAGTGTTCCCTTCAGAGTCAAAGCCTAAAAAGATTTGAAACCATTGGATTAAGCTGATGAATCTGAAAAGTCCTTTGTAATAATGCTCCTATTTTACTTCAGTAGGGAGGTAATAATTATAGCCCAAAACTATTTCTGTGGGCCAGCAATCCAGACAGTTCTTATCTGTGGCACTAGAATTTTTTTTTTCTTTCCTTGAAATAATTCTCTCTGCCTCAATCTACAGATTATGGGGATATAGTCCACACAACTCTGAGAAGCCAGACCTAGGGAGCAAATAAAAATCAGGAAAAGGTGATGGGAGCTTAATTTTAAGAAGTTTTGCTTTATTCACATTTAGTTCTACAAAAATGTCTCATCATTGTATTTGCAAATTATTCTACAAATTCCATATTACAATGGATCACATGAACCCCAATGCTGAGAAGAAGAAACAGGCCTTGAAAGAAAGGGATAGATTTTTGGACCCAGGATTAAGCTAGAAGTGAACCAAAGTTCTTTGTAGTTCACATGGCACAAGATGATAAAGTTCCTAAAATCATATTAAAGGGGAACCCTGGAAGTTTCAAGGAAGCTACAACTTGAAGGAAATGAAGAAATATCTGTCCTGCTGTTGTCTTGATCAGCATAGCAGGCTGTTCCAAGCTGTAATCTTAATTCTTCTTTTTTTTTTTTTTGGCTAGGCCATGGGGTTAAGTGACTTGCCCAGGGTCACACAGCTAGTAAGTGTTATGTGTCTGAGGCCAGATTTGAACTCAGGTCCTCCTGAATCCAGGGCCAGTGCTCTATCCACTGTGCCACCTAGCTGGCCCCTTAATTCTCTAAATTAATTAATCCCACCTTCTCCAAATTTATACAACTTTCTCAATCATCAGAAATTTTGAGCAAACATAGGGCTCTAGGTTTCTTGCAATGAAGAGCTCTGACTTATAGGCTCTCCTCTTCATTTATAGCTTTTCCAGATCCTTTCTTCTATCTGTCATTCATCTTCATAGACTCTTTGGTGAATGAATGCAAGTCACTTCAAACAAGTTATATAGGACATAGTAACTTTCCTGGTAGGGCAACTGTGTTGACTAACCAGAAGCCAAGAAGGTGAACCTTGCACAAGATGAAGAAATAGGTGTGCTTTTCCTTGGTCACCTTCTGCCTTCCCTTAATTTCAAGAGGAAATTCTTAAAAATTAGACCAAAAATATACTTATAATTTTATTTTATTTTACTTATAATTTGCTAGAGGCAAATTGTTCCTCTGACCTGTTTTCCCCCCTTACCCTCTTTTTTCCTAGTATTATCCTGTAAGTACCCCAACCTTCAATCCCACCCCACCCTCCATTCTCATGTTCCATCTGTTTTTGACTTCTTTCTTCTCTCCCACCTTAAATTTCTCCCCAATATGAGAAGGCAACTATGTTTAAGAAAGAAAGAATGATAGAAGTGACAGAGAAATTAGAAGAAATACTTTCCCCTGGTAATAATATATCCAATTCTGTACAACAGTGTTAGAAGATCAAGTTGCATGCCTTGTGTACAGCCTCTGTATAGAATTAAAAGAACAAAATGAAACAACAGTAAGATAAGCCATTCTGTACTTTACATGACTATGGACCATATAAAGATGGTAGAAGACAAAGAATTCCTCTCCCCTTCATAATAAATCAGTATTATAAATGACTAATGGTTAAGTTTGCTCATTTATGTATAGAGACCCAGAAGTTCTTCAATATAATAAATTATTGACAGCTTTCCTAAATATGCAAAGGAAGCAATGTAGAGAACTGGAAATATACCCATTAGTTCAATTAATTAATACTTCTTAGTTCTTACCCAAGATATTGAGTTTTGAGGATTTCCTTGCAGTTGGAGATGAAGGGATATGCATAAGTTTAGGCAGAAACAAATACAACACTTCCTAATTTATAGTGATAGAATGTCTCTATTTGTATGTATATGTGTACATATGGACAGACATTCATAGGGCAAGTAGTTTTTGTCCTTTAGATGAGCATAACAGTGATAAGATTCAATAAAGATGAATTTGTGTGGCTGTCAGAATTAAATTTTGTCACACTTCTCATATTTCTGGGCAAGAAGCATTATATATACTATGACCATAGGGAAGTCACTTAACTTTTTTGAGCTTCAGTTTCCTCATCTGTAAAAATGGGAATAATTCTACTTTCCTCCATAGGGTTGTTGTAAAAGTCCCAAATGATAGAACGTATGTGAGGTGTTCTGCAAACTTTCAAGTATTATATAAATGTAAGATATTGTTTTGGAGCCTGAATCTCAGGGCTCTTTCCAATACTGCAGTACAATTTGAAGTACTAAGGATAAGATGGGATGACCCCTGGGTTGTAGATTGTAATATAATAAAGGCCATCATCCTCAAACTTATGTGTAGCTAGACAGTTAAAATCACATCTGCAACTCAATAAGGGACCAAACTAGTTTTATCTCCATGAAAATGAGCTTCTTGGTAAATATGACTACCCTTTTATATAGAATGAACTTGCAGAATCTCTAGCTCCATCTCCTTTGCTCCAGCTAGGTGGGAAAGTTGGCAGAGGAAACTAAGTACAATTTCCACTCCAGCCCCATCCTTACATTCTGACATTGTACCAGAGATACAAAGAGATATGATGTATGATGAATAAGTGGCTTACAGTTTAGTTAGGAGATAGGACATAGACATTCAAAAGGTGAATAGTAACTTCCATTAATTGGAAGTCAGTAAAGGTTCTCTTTAAAGAGGTGGACTCTTAAAGCAACTGGGGAGTATCTCTGTAAGACAGAATCCTAAATTTGGTAGCAAAAGTAAGATTAGAATCCACCGGCAATTGATTTATTCCAAGTCCAGTGATCCTACACTATATCAATACTACTTTTCAGTTCAAAGAAAAGAGTAATCACTGTGAATTGGGAAAAGCTTTGAGATAAGGTGAAGCCCCTGGAGTTACAGAATAATGACTAGGTTGGGGTTTATCGAAAAGTTAGATATTTCCTGTACTGTATCTATATATATAATCACGAATGCTTGATGGGGCAACAGAGCACTAAATAATGTTTTGTTGGACTAATTCCTTGCAGGCCAAAGATGATGGAGTACAGCTCAAAACAGGCAAGTTTCCCACAGGTTTCTGTGATAGAACAAAAATTGGTTCACACCACTATGGGAAGATTTTCTTTGCTACATAACTACATTTTTGTTTCCTCTAATGTGAATACTGTCTACATACTACTGAACTTGAAATTAGGAGATCTGAATCATAGTCCTACTTCTGTCATTAATTATGTAACCAGGATCAATCCACTTAAACTATCTGGGTCTCACTTTCCTCATTTATAAAAAGAGGAAGCTGAACAAGATTATCTCATAAGTGTGTGTTATGCCCTACATTACTGAATTCCCAGTGCCCTTGAATTGGATGGGGTAGTGGTAAAGTGAGTCATGGCAATGAGAATGGGAGATTTGGAGTGCAAGGATTTTTTTTTTGTTTTGGGGGGGGTAGAGATTAAAAACAAGACAGGAAACCCAACATTGGAAGAAGTTACTCACTTAGCAAGTGATATATTCTTAGCTGCCTTAGAAAACCTAGGGTGCTTGAAGAATAAGCAGCCAAATGTCCTAATTAATGCTCACTGGGGAAATAATGTTAAGGCACCAAGAAATTCTGTAAAAACTACTGGGAATGAAATTCAAAAGAGCTCATTTGACTTCCCTGACTTACAGGTCTCCAAAGGGTATTGTAGAAGGGCAAGAAAATTAGTAAGCTAAATACTCAAAGGAAAAGAAATCAGAATCCTCGAGACTAAAAGAGTCTCATGTTTTCAGTCTTTTTCCTCTGCAATAGTAGGGGCAATGATGAAGTAGTGAGAATGAGGTTTGCACAGTCTTCAGTTCATTCTTTCTTTTGCTTCTTCTGTTCTTCCACCCTGAGACATAAATCCCTACCTGACCCCTGAGGAATATTGGAGCACCTATGGCACCTCCACCCAATAGTCAAACAGACCAAATCTGGAGAGGGACCACCCCTATGTTATTTCACAAAATTACAGAATTTCAGAGTCAGAAGTTACCTTGACAGTCATCCAGTTTAGCTTAAACCTTAAAATGAATCCTTTCTATCACGTACCTTATAAGTAGCCATCCAACCCTTGCTTGAAGGCCTCCAGGGAAGGGTAACCCATTACCTTGGAAGGAGTGTGCTTTATGAGTCCTTGTCCCCTCAACCTGTTCCTCTTTTCAACTAATTTTTATATAACAATAATAATAATAAGTAATAACTCCTGTTGGGAGTTGCCCTCTCTCTTCATACAAGACTATTCTCAGGTCTGTACCCACACATAGAGACTGGATTCAGTCCTG